AAATGACAGAGATGACAGAGTAACAGTGAGGGAATGAGGACATCACTCTATGCTGTGCTCAGTGGGAGCGCAGCTGGCTGGAGAGAGCTGGCCAAAGGGAGCTGCTGGGACCAAATGGAGGTGAGAAGATCCTTTCCTGGAGAGGAGCTAATGGACAAGGACAGGCCAACCACAAGGAATGCTGTGCTCATCTTCAGAGCACAGGGCAAGTGTTTTGCCATGAACTTGAATCTTAGAGCAGCGAAGAACTGTATCTTCCTTAAGAGGCTTTTGCCTCTTCTTCATCACTGTTCTTTGGCATGAGTTTGGTGGAATGTACTCAGCCTCCTTCGCTTTTGAGCACCATGGCTGAGCTCTTGCCTTCCTTCCCACCACTGTCTATCCTCCGTCTCTGCTGGGACAGGGCATCCACATGGCTTTAGTATTGATGTGCCAGCGATAGAACCAACACACAAGACAGGAGCACCCTCCTGCCATGCTGGCGCTGTGTCACATCAGCCTGGGACAGGGTGTTTGGCTAGTGATTGGAAAACAACTTCTAGAACCCCCTTCCAGGTGGAGATAGGACAGAATGAGGATCTGAGCTTGAGATCAAATTTTAACTAGAAAGAAATTATTTGTGGTTGCTCAGCAGAGGAATTGTTGTGCCTTCACAGAAATAGTTTGCCAAAACCCTTGGTAAACAGTGGGCTGGGATGCATCTGGTGGAGGAACCTGGCTCATCACACAAATCCCAAGGGTTGTGAAGTGGGGCATCTGAGCACCCTGGACTTGGCAGACACAGCTGGCAGGCACTCACAGGACAAGTGGGCAACAGGAAGCCTGCAAGAGGAAGAAACAGGCAGTGTCAGCTTTGAGGCTCACAGACAGTGCATGTTCACTTGCTGGCCTTCTCCAGCCAGCCAGCCCCATCTGTTCCCCTCCAGCTCTGGGAAATGGGGTGGATGGGATAAAAGCTTCTCCACAGTGCAACTGTGCTGACTGCTGGGCCTCGGGTCCCACGGCAGTGCTGGCTGCATGCTGGGCTGTTGCAGTTCTGTGCCTCAAGAAATCATGACCCTCACAATGGGGGTTGGCAGCTCACAGACAAGAGGTACATGTGAAGTTTAGCAGGCAGTGGTAAAAGGGATACAATGATTCCCTTAAACCAGGATAAATCTCTGCCTCTCCTTGCTGACAGTGGTGACACTTTCTTTGCTCTAGGGCTCTAAGTCTCTACCCAAAGCCTTTTAAGGAAGGACAAGCTATAGAAAACACTACATTCTCCAAGGATACCTGCCTTCTGTGGGTTGAAAGTGGAAGGTGACTGGGACTATCTCTGTCTGGGAGGTGACATCAGGGAAACAACCCCAGCAGGTCCAGCATACATAACTCGGCATACAAAGATTCATACTAAGAATGAGGCACTGCACAATCCACTGGGTCAACTAATACAGTGTGCTGCTGTAGCTACCATGTAGGGCCCCTCACTGTCCCCAGATCGTGGTGGGATGGCTACCTGGCTACTCCAGATCACACAGGCCCTTCCTGTAGTGCACAGGTGTCAGGACAAATCTCGAGGTGATTAAGGGTGTCAGGACAAGTACCATGGTGATTAAGTAAAACTCAACAAAGCTGAATAGACTCCCTCCTTAATTAATATATTCAGTGATCCATGCTGGGAATGGACAAGAAAGCATGGACTTGTAGCACAGCATCAGCTGAAAGGAGAGGGCTGGCACTTGGCACCAGATGGTGTAATGACATGGTAGGAGAAGATGAATTGGAGTGTGCTTGTCTATACTCAATATACACATCTTAGAATCACAGAACAGTTTGAGTTGGAAGGGATCCTTTGAGATCTTCTAGTTTAACACATCCGGCAATGAGCAGGGAATGCAATAAGAATCTTTTTCCAGAGACTCTCCTGTTTCCTACCAAGAGCCCCACAAAGGAAAAAATGGGCTTTAGGATACATGTGAAGCCCCACTGTGTACGTAATTTCCATAGCAAGCCACTCACATCATATAGCTCACTCCTGGCGCCTTGCCCAGGTGATTTCTTCTTTCGTACTGATGAAGTTGCTCGACCTTGGTGCCCTCTGTGAAGCTGTGAACTTGAAGGCAGCATAATAAATTTCCACCTCATCCCAGGTGCCTGTCAGCCTGAAGCTCCCGCAGTAAGGTGAAGGGGGAAAGAGGGGGATCATGTCTCTTTACCAAAGCAGGCTGGCTCTCTAATGCCCCATTAGCATACCACACACAAGCATTCAGCTTTTAATTAGTTACGTGGTGTGATAATTAAGTAATATTTCTCCACAATTTTCCTCTTGTGTGGAGCAGAGGGGAGGGGGATGGTGCCTGTTGGGGATGGGGGTTAAGGTTGTTTTAACGTTGTAAGTAATTGCGACCCCAAGGAGAAGCAGAAGCAAAATGCAAGCACTCCCTTCGAGAGTGGTGGAAGCCCCAAGCTTGGCTCTCTCATGTCTCCCCTCCCATTCCCCCTGGCATGGGCTTACCCTCCTTCAGTCAGCAAAGTGCTCAGTGGGCAATAACACATCCTCTGGAGCATCCTTCTCTCCATCTCAATGTATGCAGCTTCAGATCCTGGTGGGCTGATGAAGAGCTACCCTCCTGCCTGGATTCAAAGCTGTTTGTGTGTAGGGGACTGTTAGGGAGAGGCTGAAGAAGAAAGCTCTGGATGGGGGAGAATCGCAGGCCTTTCCAGAGCTGGGGAGCTGTATGCAATGCAAAGGTGAAATAATCAAAAAGGTGTTTCACGGTGACATGGCAGAAAAATGTGTTGGGAGGCCAGAGCTAGGAGAGGGAAAGCTCTGCACAATGAAGTTTGTGTCAGATTTGGCACTGCAACATGTGTGGTAACGAAAAACAGCTTTCCTACCATCAGGAACAGTGAAGGCCTGTGCCTCGCTGCAGAAGGGCAAATGTGGCCTCCTCAGCTGGGAATCTCTTACTGGAGAGCAGAACAGGTATAATTGATCCATGCAAAGCAGTGGCAGAAATAAAATAAAGCCTATTACCAAAGCAGGCTGTTGTTTCAGCAACGTGCATGCCATTGGACTGCTTATGACAGGGAAACAGATGGTAATTCTGCGAGCCCTGCACATCCTGGCACACGTGTAGATTCAAAGAGTTACTGCATCAGGGAAGAGGTAGATGCAAGTTTGTTGGGATATGAAATAACATACAATTTCCTAATGAATTCAACAGCTACACCATCCCTCAGTCAGGTCAGAATTATCTCCATTAAACATATCCCCATTTTCCAATAGGAAACGAAAATGAACCCTAAAATATGGTGGGTTTATCTATTCTTAAACTGTGTAGAAGCAAAGGTTGAGATACATCTTTGAAATAAGCTCCAGAAAAACCTTTGGAAAATTATCCATCAGTCTTCAGATCAACAAGGCAAAATAAATCTCTTCTAGGCCTATTAGGAGATCACTACCAAAACCATGCCCTAGCGCTTTCATCTGCTAAGGTGAGTTGCAGTACATGAATTTGCTTGCTCGCCCTGGCACATCAGGCACTCCTGCTTTATCCGAGAGAGAGGGATTTATGTCCTCAGAGTGTCGAACTCAGGGGATGCTGAGGCACAGGTATATTTTGTCCTTGTAGTAAACTTTTAGTGGACAGTATGTGCTCTTTCACTGAGTATTGCTAAACTTCTTGTTTTCATTCCAGTCTGTTCCTAACCAGGTGAGGGGACATCTTCTCCAGGGCAGCTTGAAATGGGAGTATGATGTTTGTTGAAAGTGACACTGTTTGGACAGCTGTGTCTTTGCTACCATGGGAGAAACTGTCTGTGTCCATGTCAGTGGCCAAAAGCTGTTCCAGAGGGCTCTTCTCCATGCCGTGGAGAGAGGCTTTCTAGGAGGCAGTTTAACAAAGGTTGATTGAAAAACTGAAGTGTCGCATCTCCTGTCACTGGCTGGTACTGTGTACAAGAGGGCAGGGGACACTGAGTATCCATGGAACCCTACACAGGTGGGCATGGGAGCTGAACAAAGAGTTGCAGGGCCTTTACGCGCCACTGAGCTTAGGTTGTTGTGGTGGTGGCTCACTTTCCTGTTGTTGGGCAACTCTGAGGGTGAGACCAGTGCTTTGCATCCTTCCTGCTCTCCCGGACCTGCCTCCCATCTGGGCCAGTACCTCTCTCTGCCCCACTCTCCTAGCCCTGGATATATTTTATCCCAAGACTGTCATTCCTGCCCAAATGTGTTATGATACATGAAAGCATCCAGTGGGAGAATCATCTGCAATTATCAGAATACTTTCTTCCATTGACGAAGCTTAGCTTGGAATTTGGAGTACAAGACATAAAAGACCAATAGAATAGAGCTTGATTGATAGCTGGCATGATTGCAAAACTACAGTACCTGCATCCAGCCGGCTATAAATTGTACCACGGTGCCTATCAGCCAGCTTCTCTTGAAACATTTGATTAGAGCTTCTTTCAACCACCCTTGGCCCTCCCCAGCTGCTAGGGAAAGGGCTTTTGAGGGAAAAAACCTTACATGATTTGAGCTGAAATCATGTCCTAAATATTTGAAGTGACATGAATTGAACACCCCCTTTTTTTTTTTTTGGTAGTCCTGAAACTGGCTACTAGAACTGCTTTGCAAAATGATTGGGTATTCAATAGCCAAAGCATAAAAATTGCTTGCCCAAAATAAAAGGACAGAAATGCCAAAAGATTATTTTGGAAGAAGAGGATTTTTGTCCCTTTTTTTTTTGTGGTTTTCATCTGGTCAGTGGCATTGGCATTTGAGCAAATCGTTGATTTTTGTTGTGTCCCCCATCCTGGCATCCCTGGGGAAGAAAGCAGCTGGTTTCCTCACTGAGTTGGAACCTGGCTGCTCTCATGTCCCATTGGGAAGCACTGTAGTGATGTCACAGAGGCACTTGTGAGCTCAGACACAGCCCTCGTTCTCTTGGGAATCATTCCACACTCATGAGGCAACGCTAGAATTTTCACATGGCACATCACTGTGACATACAGATGCAGCAGCTTGTTCCTTCCGTGGTGAGACTTCCTTGGAGACTGTCTTCACTGGGCTTTCAGGCATGCTGTAGCGGGCCAGTGAGTGTTGCCCCATCCCCCAGAGGAGGTCATTAGTAGAACAGGGAGTCGAACTCCATACAGGTTTCTGCATCCTGTTCTTCCCTCTCGCTGCTACAGAGAGAGCTCTGGGCTGAGGAGCATCCAACCCATGTGAATGTGAGTCACGTTTTGCTAAGCTGTGCACCTATGTGAGCGTACTACCAAGTTTAAATGACAATGGGCAGAGACCTCCCACGCAGAGCTGTCAGGGTAGCGATTATTTATTTATTTATTCTCTTTTTGATAATTTAGTTTAAGTCAATGTGACACACACTAGTATGTTTTCCAGTATAAATCAACACCAAAATATAGTTCTGTCCTTGTTATGTGTACAGGCTGGCATATCCCTCTGCTTGGCAGAGAGGGCTCCAGGGGCCTGACAATGAAACTTCCCTGGGGGAAGACACTTTTGCATTCACTTCCCAAATTGTCTATTGCCTCTGCAAGCACTTTTTCTTTTACTAATGAGAATAATAAGCTTTCATGTAGAGACACTTGCAACATGTGTTTACTGCTGTGAAAGAATTTAGATAGAGGCTTAAAGAAAAGCAAAATAGGGTATTGTCTAGGATATCTCCTTGAGAACAATGTCAGTTTAAGTAAGGGAACTCAGGATTGTTGAGTATACTTGAACTTGGTTGTGGGGTTCTTTTGATGGAAGCAGAAATGAAATAAAACCACTTAGCAGCTTTGAATCAAAATGCTGGCTACATTTGGCAGAAATCTGTGAATCGAATTATTCTGGTATGTGGAGCTATTAAGCAAAACCTGAATACATTTCTCAGTGCTTGAGAATTTGAATGGGAAAGGAAGTAAATACCACTCCACTTCCATGGAACAGAACTGCAGAGGAGGGGAAGGATTTTCATAAGCTGACTCAAAAGGCCAGTGTCCAGCTTGAAGCTTCCAATTCTTTTTCTGTTTCCTACTTTTCACAACACTCATGAGTTTCCATATCAAGACCCCAAACCAATGACATTTCAGCATGACACTCATGCCATATGAGCGGAAAGCACAAGGACTTAGAAGGGGAGAATGATGGGTCTGCCTTTTTCCTTGCAGAACCCTTTTGCAGCCCTCAATGGAGCTCTTCCAAATGGAAAGATACAGGTCAAGAAAGGGCTTGCTGGCTGGTTTTCTCATGGAAAATAGGGCAAATAACTGCCACCCACCCACATCAGTGTGGAGCAGGTGAAAGGAAAACTAGGCTTTAACAACCAGCAGCTTTAACTGCAGCTTTGTCAAGGAGACCTGTCCTCTAAGATCTTTGAGATAATGCAGTAGGCACAGCAGTGGGGGGAGAAGAAACAAACCCTAGAAAATTTGGGCTGTGGCCTCTTGCCCTCATGTCCTCAGAAAATGGCTTGTTCAGCACAGCTCACAAGCCTATTTTGCCTTCCAGGCACCTCAACACCAGGAAGATGCAGAGGAATCATAGAGAATCTGGAGAAGCACAGCTAGCATGATTAAAGGGTTGAAGGATTGACTTATTAGGGAAGAAGATTAAAGGAGCTAAATATGGGGAGGTTGGCTAAGTGGCAACTTAAGACGGGACATGAATGATAACAATCTACCAGCTTTTGAAGGAAGGGAACAGCTAGGAGAGAGAAAGAAGAGGAATTGACAAATCTGGTTCAAGGGGTGAACAGTAACTGATTGAGCATGTGATAATTGAGGTCGAATAACACACAAACAAAAAAATCCCAATCCCAATCAAAATCCTAGATAGCTGATGGGTATCTAAAAGGAAATAGACACTGAACTGTGAGTTGCATTTAAATAGATGTGTACTGTAAGAGCTGAACCCCATGCTCGACTAGTCTTCTATGTCTTGGCTGTAGTCCACCAACACTACAGTCCTTTCTAACTCTGTCAGTAATTGCTCCTCCTCAGATCAGGGCTGCTAACACATGCAAGCATTAGAGTGAGAAGTCTGTCCTGGGCACTCCACATCCATCCTCACCGAGGTCAGATCTATTAGGAGTAGAAAACAGGGGCTGAGCTGATGATGTGGGGTGGGGAGGCTGCTCAAGAGCATCTCACAGTTCCCTTCCTGTCTCATTGTGGGGATCTGAGGTACTTAAATGTGCCATTAGCTTTGTAACTTTATCTTGCCAGTAGGATCAGGAATCAGATTAAAGATTTCACCTCCTCCTCATTTCCTTCCTGCTAGTTGCATGGCCATTGCACAGAGCATGTGCTGAGCTGCCAGAAATTCTGCCTGTTGAGAAACTTACTATAAAGACAGCGTGAAATGGAGGTGTCAGAAAGCTTCGTGCTGCTAATTAAGCTGGTGTGCACGGAAACATAACTGTTGTCAGTGTTTAATTCTGTATCGTGCCTTAAAGCTCTGTTGATGCAGCTCTCTCTGCCTGCCCTGCAGCCTCCCAGATCTCCTCACCCAGCACTTCTCTTGACAGCTCTGCCTGCGCCCTTGCCACCCACTGCTGCTGCATTTTATCCTCCTGTGTAGATGAGCTTCCCCAAAAAATCCCCTAGCACATCATCAGGGTGTTCTGCCCCCCTCTTGCTTAACAAAGTTTCCAAATGTCCCACAATGATATTTCCTAGCCTGTCCTTGCAAGGGTGACAAGATGTCTCTTGGATGGGTCCCTTGCTTTGCTGCTGGTAAACCTGAGGTGGATCCATGGAGAAACTGAATATATACGTTTTGGAAGAGTGCCACAGAGTTGGGCCTTGGCAGGGAAACGCCTGGGCTAGACCGTGTTCCAAAACAAGGTCCCTCAGGCACACTTTTTCACTATTGTCTGTGGAAGTCAGGTGTAAACAGACAGTATAATTTGCAAGAAAGAGGGAGATTGCAGTATTTCTGTCATCAGTAATAAGTGGCACAAGGTCCAGAGAAGGTAGTTTGCTTGGGTTGCCAGTTCTTCTCAGCTCCTGTCTGTGCAGGCAGACTCGCTGGAAAAGGATGATGCTGTGACTCCTTCCTGTGCTGTGGAGATGGTGCTTCTTCAGCCCCATCTCTGCTCTGTTCGTCTTTCCTCACTGTGGTGCAAAGCATGCAGGTTTAGTGATGATCCAGCACTAGCTATGTTGCAGAGGGCAGTGCTGGCTTGTCTCTGGGTGTACTCTGTAGGTCTACATAGTCAACCCTTCATAAGGTATAGATTTACTAGAATGAGAAAGGTTATAAGGGGAACTTCCTACTACATAACCAGTCCATGTTATATGTGCTTCCTCGTTGCATGGTGCAGTACAGTCCTTCCATTGAGGCCAGGGCTTGGGCCACCTCTTGACACACAGGCAGAAATAACCAGTATTGCCTGTAATCCCCTGTCACTATAGATTATCTGTACAAACAACAGAGGATGCTTGAGAAGTCGAGGCAGGCAGGATGTAGTGCCAGCAGAATACAATACGAGGATGTGTTCCCATACAATAAGTTCTGCACGATTTGAAGCCAGCCCCCCCCCTCCATGTGACCAAGTATACTTACTGCCTGCACCCTCCTCCCTCTGCCTCTCCCCTCTTGCACAGAGGCTGTTTTGCAGAAAACACCATGGGGAAAGCGGCTTTTGCTAAATGTTTTATAACGTGCCAGGGAACCTTTATCAAACATTTAATCCCAAACCTGGCTTTGAAGCAGGGAGGCATACAATTCCGTAATTAATTTTTTTTTTACCTTCTTTTGCTAATCGCTGATAAAAAGCTTAATTCTATTAACAACTCGACTTGACAAATTGCACCGTTCAACGGAAGCGTTTAGAAATTAATTACGCATTTTATTGCATTAGATCGGATAAACAGGGGAGGGCCGGCTGAGCAGGAGAGGAGCATCAGCACAGGGCCCACCGTTGGGATGGTGGCCATTTTTTTCCCCGGCTCCCAGTGAGTGGTTTACATGGCTACAGAATTGCTGACGGGACTGTTTTCCTGTTTGTTTGTTCTCGTCTCTTTGCTGATTGCAAAAGTTCCACGTAGGAGAGTTTATTTTTGTAAAGGTGAATTGCAGAGCTATGGTGAAAATTCAGCTAAGCACAAATTTCTGTGCTGAACAGCCTCCAGGGGGGACAGCCAGGCTCAGTGAGTCTGAGGATAATGAGAATATGGGATTTTGGAACATGCTATGAGGTGCAGAACCAGTGAAGTGTTGTGCGCCACAAATGGGCAGATTGGGACAAGGGGAAGTCCAGTATGTCGTATGTACATCTGGCAAAAGAACCTCTGGGTTTTTAATACATGTATGTTCATAGATGTAGATGCATGTGTATTATCAGCATGCCTAGGTACATGCACACACATGCATATGCGTGTAGATACAAACACATTCTCAACTTCTCTGGTGTAAAATTCAGAAACTATTCATAGTTTGTTGAAGATAGTCTAAAAAAATAGGGGAGATAAACCAAAATGGTGTGCAAGTTTTACCTACCATTCTACTGTAAATACCTTCCCACAGGGAGATTTAAGGATATTACAGTTCAGAGTTGCATTAGTGAGTGTCTGGGTCTGAGATGCAGTTTTCACTCTGGGTCCTGTTTTAAACCTTGTTGACATTTGGAAGAAGATTTGGGTTCAGTCCTGTTAACCTGGAATGCATGGATGGCATTTCTCCTTCCAGCTTTGCTGCCTGTGTGCTGGATTGTTTTTTTCTCAACTTTGTTTTTATTTCTTAGAGGCACATAAATAACCTTTCTCCTTGGCTGTAATCCATATAGTTGTGACCCTGATGAGTTTCAGTCTGATTCTGGAAAAGGCAAGGAGAAGAAAATGAACTTCATTTCTCGCTGCTGCCTCGTTTCCCATTTGTGGGCTGGGTAGACGTGGGTGCCTATAACCAGCCCTGTCAGCTGGCAAGCTTTTTCTCCAAGATGTGTGTGGATCAGGTTGCTTGTGTGCTCTGGAGCAGCTCCTGCTTCCTCCCCACAGGATCTATCTGCAGTGAGAGGACACACACTGTGGGCAGCCAAGCCTATGTGGCGGAACAGAGATGCTTCAGGCCAGGTCAAGCCCTACCTTTATTCCCCCAGTGAGTCCAGGCACAACCTCAGGAGAGGGAGGCAGCAGGGATGGCTGTGTCCAGACCATCCAGGAGAAGACCTGCTCCCTTGGGGAGGCAGGGAGTGACCTGCCCACATTGCTGCAGATGCTTGCTGTAAAAAGCAGCTTGCTCCAGCCTGGTTCTTGGCCATTTTTATTCCCCAGCAGCCCGCACTACAGTGGCCTCTGCACTCAAATGCCCTGCTGCTGCCTCCCTCTGTCCTTTACATGTAGTCTGCAGCTGGTGGCCAGAGCTCTGGAGCAGCAGTCACAGGATGCTCTCCTGACATCTATTTTCACAGTGCTTTGAAAAGACAGTAATCGAGGGCTCTCCTGCTCCCCTTGTTGTGGGAAGCAGTGGTGTGGGGAGATGGCCGAGGCACTGGGGAACAGAGGGGTCGTGATTCCTTGATGCACATCTCTCTTTGGATGGAGAATTTCCTTTACTTTTTAGGCATCGATTCTAATTCTTCAGTTATGGGTAAGTTTATACTTCCCTTTTCAGGCTTATTTTTCGCTTTCTAACCTTTATTAGGAGGAACTAATTTGTTTGCATAGTGAGATGTTCAAAACCGGGTAAGAGATGTCAAGAGGAGGAGGGATTTTTTTCTTCTTTTTTTTTTTTTTTCTCTCTCTCAGAAAATGCAAAATTAAGAATATTCATGCTTTGGAAAAATCATACATTGACTTCACCTTCTCTTATTGCATCTTGAGTCTTCTTGACTGAGGTGCTCTAAACAGCTTTGGCTTGCCAGAGCTCATGACGTCAACGCTCCTACACAGGTATTTTTCACAGGCAACAGCTGGAAACCAGAGGAGGGGAACCCAAGAAGGGGCATGGCCAGTTTTAAATAGCACTTATTAGGGAAGGGAGTATGTGGTGATCAAAGGCAGTCAGAGAGTAATCTAGTTGCGGGAGCATGAGAGAGGCAGAAACAGATATACAGATGGTGCACAGCACCTAAGAAAAGAAACATGGTGAAGGAGTGAAAGAAAAATAAATAAAAGTTAATAGAGCTAAGCAGAAATACTGAGAGGAAAAATATAGTGCTTTTGAAAGAGGGAACAGAATGAACTTAGAGACAGGCAACAGGGACGCTGCAGAGAAAAAAAATATTAACAATAAAAGATAGATCACAGCATGTTAGATGGCAAGAAATAAACAGCAAGTTTATACAATTTCAAGGAAAACTATTGAGTCAAAACGTGTAGAGGGAAAAGGGAGGGAGAGGAAAGAAGGCAAGGTGGGGAAAAAGAAATTCAAAGGCTCCTTTGTAAAGAATAATTAAGTGACTAAGGCATCAGTGCCAAATTACTGTGGTACTCCAGGGGCTGAGACATTCAGCAATGAAACCTGTAGGGACTGCTGGGGAGGGGGGGGCTGAACTGAGAGGGCCAAGAGACTGGTGGCAGCCTCCCAGCCCTCCCTCCCCGGGGGCTGCACAGCTATGTGCTGCTGGTCTGGGTCCCTGCACAGCCCTGGCAACCCTCATGGCAGGGAGGAGAGGTTTAGGGAAGA